ATATTATATATATATATATATATATATATATATATATATATATATATATATATATATATATATATATATATATATATATATCTATATATATATATATATATATATATATATATATATATATATATATATATATATATATATATATATATATATATATATATATATATATATGTATATATTTATATATATACTACTTTTCTATTTTACAAATATTCTATTATATAACCCAGGCGTTGGCAACCTAATAATAAGCAGTGAGGTTTTTCCTAAAATAATCAAAATATACCTTTCTTAATTTTAAAAAAAGAGCTGCAGGATTACAGTTTAAGTATGTTTTAAATCAAAATGTTATGTAATTTGGACAGACTGGAGAGCCACATATATTAAAAATAACTGAGATCATGAGAATTCCGATCCACTTGTTGCTGACCCCTGATATAATCATTAAACAAATTTTCTACATTTTAAATTAGTGTTTTTTATAAAATCCAGAATTTACATATTTTATAGAAACCGGAATTTACAAAAAATATTTGTTAAAGTATTAATATCTAACATAAATTTTTTTTTTTTTTTTTTTGATTTAGAGTATTTTATTTGGTTTTTCTTTAATTCTAAGTAACTGTCAGTCCTTTTGCTTTTTATTTATTTTTTTTATATGTAAACTAGTTGGGTCTTGAATTTATAATAAAATGTCGCAGTAAATGTTGTGCAGAAAACCTTAGGACCCCACTTCAAAGCTAAAATCGCTCATGAACAAACTATTTTAATTTCGTAAAATTTTTTAGGATGTGTTTTTGAACTGTTTATAAAATATTTCCATAATGCCAAACACTTAAATCCAAAGAAAGTTGTAATTCGACCTGCCCTAATATACAGTAATGGCCATTAATAACAATCCATCGTGTTATTTTAATATGAGTATAAGTTTGAAATTAAATATTTTATAAACTAAAAGTGATTTTTTCCTTATTTTTTTTTTAATTGAAATAGATCAAATAATTGCAATATAAATTTTTTACAAAATAATAAAAATTTTAAAAATTGAAAACTAAATTATTAAAACTAAAACAAGTTTTTATTTGTATTAAAAAAAATGTGGGTTAATTAAACAAACCACAAAAATAAAGTTAACAAACCTTAATAAAAATATTCTTACGAAACATAAAAAAATAAGAATTAATATTTTTTTGACAATCCTTTTGCTTTTAAGCATTCATTGATATGTTTCGGAGTTCACTAAATTCTGAGCAATCTTGTTTGGAACACTATTATGTAGTTTTGTTGCTAATTCTTTCAGCTGGTTCAGATCTTTTATTTTAATTTTACCAAGGATGTTGTTCAACCCAGACCACAAATTCTCTATGTAGTTAAGATCTGGACTGTTGGCAGGCCAAGACATGGTTTTGATGTTGTTTTTTTCAAACAATTGCTTGCAAATCTTAGCAGTATGGAACATTATATTGTTGGAAGATTCCCATGCTTTTTGGGAAAATGTCAATAGAAGACATTAAATAATTATCCAATATGTCTAAATATCTTTGAGAGTCGAGTCTTCCATAAAATATTTTAAAACAAACAACACCTTCATATTTCATGCAGGTCCAGATGCCTATTCTACCAATACCATAATTTGTTC